GTGGTCAACTATGAAGATTCTACTGTATTTTAATCTGTATATCTCTAATTACCATTTTCTTACTGCATAGTTTGTCTTTTTCTTTTTTTTTTTTTGGAGACAGAGCCTCAAGCTGTACCCCTGGGTAGAGTGCCATTGCATCACAGCTCACAGCACCCTCCAACCTCTGGGCTCAAGCGAGTCTCCTGCCTCAGCCTCCCAAGTAGCTGGGACCACAGGTACCCACCGCGAGGCCCGGCTTTTTTTTTAGTTGCAGCCGTCATTGTTGTTTGGCAGGCCTGGGCTAGATTCAAACCTGCTACCTTAGGTGTATGTGGCTGGCGCCTTAGCCACTTGAGCCACAGGCGCCGAGCCAGTTTGTCTTTTTCTTACAGGCTTATAAGAGTCCTTGATAGAGTTAGGAAATTAGCCCTATGTCATATGTATAATAAACTTTTTCTTATAGTTTGTTGGGTTTTGTTTTTTTTTAGAGACAGAGTCTCACTTTGTCACCCTAGATAGAGTGCCATGGCATCACAGTCACAGCAACCTCCAGCTCTTGGGCGTAGGTGATTCTTTTGCCTCAGCCTCCTGAGTAGCTGGGACTACAGGCGCCCACCACAACGCCCAACTACTTTTTGTTGCAGTTTGGCTGGGGCCGGGTTCGAACACACCATCCTCAGTATATGGGGTGGTGCCCTACTCACTGAGCCACAGGTGCCACCTGTCTTTCTTTCCTTTTCTTTCTTTTTTTTTTTTTTTTTTTGAGGCAGAGTCTCACTTTGTTACCCTGGGGCAGAATCCTGTGGCATCATAGCTCACAGAAGCCTCTAACTCTTGGGCTCAAGTGATTCTCTTGCCTCAGTCTCCTGAGTAGATGGGACTACAGACTCCTGCCACAATGCCTGGCTATTTTTAAGAAGACAGAGTCTTGCTCCTGCTCAGGGTGGTCTCAAACTCCTAAGCTCAGGCAATCCACCTAGATCTCCCAGAGTGCTAGGATTACAGGTGTGGGCCACGGCATCTGGCCTGTTGTTGTCTTTTAACAGTGCATATAGTATTTTTGTTATTGTCTAGCAAATTTCCTTATTCTTCACATTAGGGCTCCTGGATTTTACATATCCTTCCCATCTCAAATATAAAAATAATATATATGTTTTCTCTATTTCTTTTATAATTTCATTACTTAGTTTTCTATAATTTACTATAAATTAAAATGTAGATATATAATTATGCAGTCAGAGCTCAACTACATAAAAAGTAGAAAAATACTAGAAAGAAAGAAATAAAATATTGACAGTGGTTATTACTGAATGGTAGGGTCATCTATGGTTTTCTTGTTCTGTGCTTTCCAAATTTTCTACATTGAATATACATTACTTTTATAATCAGAAGAAAATAAAATTTTATTTTTTTGGAGACAGAGTCTCACTTTGTGGTCCTTGGTAGAGTATAGTGGCGTCACAGTTCACAGTAACCTCAAACTCTTGGCTCAAGCGATTTGCTTACCTCAGCCTCCCAACTAGCTGGGACTAGTAGCAGGTGCCCACCATAATGCCTGGCTATTTTTAGAGATGGGGTCTCCCTCTGGCTCAGGCTGCTCTCAAACCTGTAAGCTCTGGCAATCCACTGGCCTCAGCCTCCCAGAGCGCTAGGATTATAGGTGGAAGCCACCACCCCCAGCTGAGAAAATAAAATTTCTTAAAAACCATATTTAATTTTTTTCTCATGTTTTTGATAGCACTGGCTTTAATTCTCTATTATTATTTTTGAGTACTTGACCTAGACTGAGTTTAATACTGGGGCATTAAATAGTAATACTGTATTAAATAATAACATCAAATTGTTTTACAGGTATTTTCTTTTAACTCCATTGTTATGGATAACATGATAGGAGAAAATTTGAGAGTCATATAAAGGTCTGTCAAAAGCAAGAATTATAGTTCCATTTGGAAAGTTCATTTGAATAATATTCACAATAATAGTTACATCCTTTTTTTTTTTTTTTTTTTT